GGTCCTTGCCTTTTGTGAGTTGGAATACTTTCCAGCCCCTTCTTGCCTGCAAGGTTTCTTTGGAGAAATCAGCTGATAGTATTATGGGAACTATTACTGTCTCTTTTGCTTGCAGCTTTTAAGTCTCTCCTCTTTAATCTTCGGTAATGTTAATTATCATGTGCCTTGGTGTGTGCTTCTTTTGGTCCACCTTCTTTGGGACTGAGCTGCCTGGAAGTTTATTTCCTTCCTTTTCAATTCCAAGTGGAATTGTTATGTACTTGTTTATTGTTGCAGCCTTGTTTTAAAGTATATTTTGTCTGGCATAAGTATTGCTACCCCAGCTTTTTTGTTTGTTTCATTTCCATTTTCATGAAATATCTTTTTCTATTCCTTTCAGTCTGTGGGTGTCTTTTGACCTGAAGTCTCTCATAGGTAGCATACATATGGGTCTGGTTTTCTTATCCATTCAGACAACCTATGGATTTTGATTGGAGCATTTGATATATTTGCATTTAAAGTGATTGTTGAAGAGACCAGGAGTGACTGCCTCATATGTCTTTTTCCTCCTTGCAAAAGTCCCTTTCACCACCATAGGGATGTACCAAGTGAGATGGAACAGGGGGAGAATGGTGACCAGTACAGTGATTACTAGCTGTTGCCCATTTGCTAGAGAACTAAGGTGGAAGAGTATTAAACCTCTATACTTCTCCATGGCCCACTCCCTGGTGGACGTGCAATGGCCATGCCCGCTCCCACAGTGGATGGTCCACAGTAGCCTGAAATCAAAATTCAGATGTTTGCTTAAGGGCAAGAGAAAGAATGCTTGGGGGGCTGAGCAAACTAACACTTTTCTCCACAGGGCATTTCTCAGCTCCAGGCCTCCTGACACCCTAGTCTTTTTCTCCATGGACCTCTCCCCTATCCGGTATACTCCTACCCATTCTTTTTTCAGGACTCTTGTATCTATTCCTCTAGAAATCCACCCATGATACCTACCAAATAAGCTACCAAACTCTTCACAGTTTTATTTTTAGCATAGTTTTTTAATGGCCCATTGTATTCCTTGTTGAAAACTTTCTTAGAGGCAGAGGTCTGTGTGTTTGGTCAACTGAGCGCTGCAGAAGCAAAGACGCCTCAGTAACAATGGGTACACCTGACATCTGGATACTCGTTTCTAATACCATTTCCAATAAAACAGACCAGGGATCCTTGAAGAAGGGGCTAACTTCAGCCTTTTGAAAAAAAAAAAAAAAGTAACACTCCCCTCCCCCCAAAAAACACACCCCTCCCAACAAAATGGGTATGGCAAAGGAACACAGGAACCGAATGAAAGGCCACAGTAGACAAAACAGAAACAATTTGAGGCAAAATAAAGTAATACTGAATTATGACTTAAAAAGTAAAATATAGCCCATATTGATATAAATGATTAAAAAAATGGGGAAGTGAAATCTCCCAAGCACAGACATTTTAAATAATACCCTGCTCTCAAGAGGTGAACTGTAACTTCCCATTCTTTCTTTTAACTCACCTGAGGTTTTTTCATTGCCTCGCCACCTTTTTTAAAGAGACACATATACACACAGACATTGATCAGTTGCCTCTTGTACGCACCCCAATCAGAGGAATCAAACCTGCAGCCTACGCATGTGCCGACTGGAGATCAAACCCACAACCTTTCAGTCTATGGGATGACATTCCAATCAACTGAGCCACAGCAGCCAAGGTCCCACTCCTTTTTAGTGTGAGCTGCACATAGTGACTTCCTTCTATGGAAGGATGGAAAGAGGAGGACAAAGTAACTACAGCTATAAAACTGGTAAATACTACCTTATTAGCCAAGTAATCAAAATAAGTTGACAGTATGTATCCTTGATACTACCAATCAGAGTAACATTTTAGTTTGCTTTATTAAAACACCTAAGTTTAATCATAAGAAAACAACAGACAAATCCCATTTCAAGGACAGTCCACAAAACACGTGACATTCTTCAAAACTGTTTTGGTTTTGAAGAAAGGCTAAGAAACTGAAAACCAAGAAGAGCTCAACATAACCAAATGCAATATGGTACCCTAGAGCAGAAAAAAGACACCAGGTAAAAACTAAGAAAATCTGAATGAAGTATGGACTTTAGTTAATAGTATACCAATATTTGTTCATTAATTCTAACAAATGTATCATACTAATGTTAAGATGTTAATAGTAAGGGAAATTAAGTATGAAGTATATGGACACTGCTCTATCTTTATAGTTTTTCTTTAAATTCAAAAACTGTTCTAAAACACAGAGTTAATTTAAAGGAGATTAAGTTGATAAAAGTAAAAAAATGCAAGCCTAATTATAATTAGACTTTCATTCTGCTAATGTTTTTCAAACTTTATTGTATGTCACAATAAAACAAAATACTCTGCCCATTTTTGGCCCCCTCTCCCAGGTTCTGATTCAATAGATCTCATATTGGGGAAAAAATGAGCATTTCTAACAAATTCTGAGATACTGATACTGCTGATCCAGAAATGATTATTTTGATAATCACTGACCCGGCCCGGAAGATAAAAGCAAAAAATTCAAATGATCCTTTGCCACCTGCCCCTATGCTTACAGTCTCTCATTTTTCCTATGCAAGTATCTCTTATGTTGCAGACACTCTAAATTAACTCCTATTAATGACAAGAACAAAAAGTTTAATGCTACTTCATTACACATTTTATCTAACATGCAGATACGAATTCCTATCTATGAGTTATATACAAAATACACATCGCTATCAAAAACGGCAGCAGGGTCCGCCAGCGTGGCTCACTTGGTTGGCGTGTTGTCCTGAAAACGGAAAGCCTGCAGGTTCAATTCCTGGTCGGAGCACATGCCTAAGGTTATGAGTTCAATCTCTTTCTCTAAGAGAAAAAAAAAGTCTCAATTAAAAAAATTAGCAATGGGAACTTTTTTTAAACTGATGATTCTGAAACTTACTTCGAGAATGTTTAGATAGAGACTCTAAGAGTTGTCAAATAAAAAATGATGAATTTTTAATCCAGCTATTATAACTAAAACAATCCAGGCAAAAGGACTTCATACTTTATTTTACAGATTTATCTTCTAAAAAAAATGAGAAACTAAAAAATGTGTTCCTGGTGACCAGTGTTTTTCATGTCATGTACCAATTTTTATGGAACTTAATTCAACTGACGGACATCAGCAGCACAGAACAGAGGAGCACAGAGCACAAAGCCCAGATGCCCAAGTCTTAATTCTCTCCTCCACAACCCACCTGTTTTGACTCAGGTCCAGTTACTTACTAACCTGTGCCACATAAATCAGTTTCCTCTCCTGTTATGTGAATAATACAACCTACCTCACACGGATCAAGTTCATATTCACTGAAGTCCTTAGAATAGTAACTGGCCCATAACAAGTCCTGCATTTCTTGATATTTACAAAAAACAACCAATATGGCAAGTACTATATTAGAAAATGAGACTAAAATGACCAGAAACATAAAAGTTATATGCAGTGTGTAAGACACATTGACAAATTAATCACAGAGTAAACAAAATGTAAAGTATGAAACTGCAAACTGAAATAAGTGTTATGAAGGAATGAGTGTTTTAAAAAGCATTAATATACCTACCTAGCATCATTTTTGGAGGAGGAGTGGGGAAAGGTATACCTATTCCACGTTTAACCAGTACTTTTACATAAATTACCAGTCTTTGAAAAGATAATAGTCCTATCATCTAGAAATTATCACAGTCAACAATTAATGTCAAGTTAAATTATTTTGATACAATCTTTAAGCACCATAAAAATGTTTAAGGCTGTATGTTTTATTTCATTTGAGCAGACATTAAAGGTGGCCTAGTAACCTGGAAAACTAAAGTCATCAATAAAAAACATGCTGTTCTTGCAGAAATTCTTCACAACCAAGAACTATATAAAAACTTAACAGCAAACAATGAGTACACAGAGGGAAACTTTACAAGCCCAGTATGTTAGGGACCGTGCCACACATACAAAGCCCCAGGTACCTACCCTTACACAACGAGGCAATCCATGCCACAATTCCAGAGGAGTTGAACTTGTAAGATACCTGAACAGTACAAACCAATCAGGTTAAAAACCAACTTCCCAGCTACCCAACAAACCAATAATTAAATAAAGTAAACACTAAATAACAAAACCCGAATACAAGATGGACTTAGCTTACATTTTAAAACTGAGGACAAGGAATTATGATATAAGCAAAAAAAATCAATACAAGTACCAAGTGTGAGTGCTAGAGCAAAATAATTTGTAATGAAGCAAAAAAAAAAAAAAAAAAAGCCCTGTTGATGTTCTAAGAGGTAACTTGAAAATACCTAGCTGTTAATAAAAAAAAGTTAGATTATATACCCAAATGCCCTAAAACTGATACCAGACCTCATTGATGAGCTTTTAAAAATTTTATTGTGTATGCATGAAAAACACTTTCATGAAGAGAATGACTGATTTTGTTTAAAAGAAGCAAGAGGTGGCAGAGTAATAATCCAGAGTCACTTAAAATATTTGCAAGAACTTTTTAAGGTTCTCTTTAACCTTAGACAGTTGAAGAATTATCTAAAGAAAAAACAACAAAAATATGCATAATAAAATTAAAATCTATGGCATATAATACAAGTTCTAATAAAATAGATTACTATAGTTCTTTGCTAATATATGGTCAGAACAAGCAGCATTCTTTACCTATAAACATTTGTGACTGACAGACTGATTTCAATTTATATTTTTAACAGTTTATAAATTCCTGGCTTAAATTATGACCAAAACTAGGATAAGTCAAGAACTAACTACCCTTGAATAGTGTTCCTCTAAAGCCAGATGGTCAAAATTAATGTTCTTTTTTAGTTACTAGTATTATACCAACACTAACCTCTTAGGTTTTGTTAATGTTCTGTGATTATGTAAGATTTTAACTTAAGAGGAAGATTTGGATATAGAGGACTCTTGTACATTTTTTTTGCAACTCTTCCGTAAACTTACCTTAAAAAAAAAAAAAAAAAGAGGTTGAAAAGAAATAAAAGCTTAACTTCTTAGGACCTTACTTTATACTAGCAAATGTGCTACACCAGAAAACTAATGTTTCCCATGGTTAGTTTAGCTGTTAGATTAGCTACTAAGTATCTATAATAAACCTATCTTTGACTGTTTTGCTATAGTAATTACTCTGAATGCTGAGAACAAGTATCTTTGTAGAGAAACAGTAAGGTTAACTGGTTTTAAATTTTTGACAGGCTGATAAAAGTAAAAGTAAAATATATTTTGTCTAACTATAAAAGTGTCTCTTTATGTATGAGGTAAAAGAATAATTTAGATTTTTATTTGAGCAACAAATTCAGAGATTCATGGGAATAAGAAACAGAGAAGGATCACCAACATAACAAAACTAAATACAGTAAGTTGTATCCAAACACAGTAAAAAAAGTCAGAGTTTTGTAACTAACTCATAGATATATAATCTACTTGCTTTAAATAATAGTTCAATCGTACATAACATATTAAGGTACTGTTTGGGGGAAAATACCCTCAAAGAAGGAAACATTTAAAAAGGGTATATTAATCATTATCTCAAATCAAAACAAGTAGCAACCTCTCCCTATACAATAAAGACTGCATGTGTCCTAATGAACCCAGGCTTCTAAATTACAAAAGATAAATTTAAACACTTTAAATACAATTCACTATAAACTTACACACTCTGTTTGGTTCCAATTTTTACTGCCCCAAATTTCTTGCCATGGTATTTTGTGTCATGAAAGCCTGGTTGCCAGATTTTTTTACAACTTTATTTGTAACAGAGCTAATAAACCATTTAATAACTACATAACTACACCTAACAGTTATTTGCTAAGGGTAGTTTAGTAAGACATACTAATTCTTTAACTAAAATTGTACTTTTGCAAATTTTCCTTTATAAGAAGTCCATTAATCCCGAGGGGAAAATAAAAACACTCAAGGGGCTTGGGAAATAATCATTTTAATCTATGTAAGCATAATTCATGCCCAAATTTATTAAATTCTGCCAGTTTTTGCCTTCATAACATTTTTCATTGTTTTCATGAGCTCTGCACTACCTCAAAAAGTAACCTATCATTAAATGGTTTCAATTAGCATAAACAATTTAATTCTGTGATACCTGTTTAATACAGTACAATATATAATCAACATTGTATCACCTAGAATTGTCAAATTGTTCATGAAAGCCTAAAAAACCTATAAAACAATTAAGCTATTTTACTTAACATGTAATAGATAGTTGTCATAAAGCAAAGCTTAAATATTTAGCTTTCTGGATGTAATGTATTTCCGTAAGTCTTTTAATCTATAATTTTACAGATACAGTTTACCAAGGGAAACCAGATATCGATTTAGTTTCTCTTTATATTTAATTAAAGTTTTTAAGAGGGTGTAAGCTGTAATTCAGATACAATTTAGCCATAACACCATATCAAGACCTTGTAAATAATTAAAGAAGAGATACTTATTATTGCTTAGTCTTACAAAATGGTGAATTTTAACCAAATTGCTACCTCTACACTTTTATTTATAATGTTTCCTATACTATTAAATGGTACTGCTTGGCAAGTAATACAGGTGTTGATAAAATTTTCTTCAATTAGTTGCAAATTCTGATTTGTTAATTGATGCATATATTCCCATTTAAGTATTTATTACACTACCTCAGAAATAATCCTCTTATGGAAAGTAACTGTCCCAAGTGGAAAAAACATTGCAAAGCTTTATCTTTTCCTTCAAGATTTTCAAGTATTATAGGAACAAAAACACATGAAAAAATTAATTAAAAATTTGACATTTCATCTTGTTTTACTAATTATGAAATAATAGAAAGAGATGTGAACAAATGTTAATTTACATTTTGCTGCTTAACATAATATTTACTAAGAACTACTCTGTTTATGAGCTATTTTCTAGCTTCTTCAAGTATGGGACAGAACTACAGTTCTAATAGTGAGGAGAAATGAATAATCAATCTTAGGTAACTCAAGAGAAAAATGGGAAGTGCAAGATAAACTGACTTTGGCTTTTAAGAACCTACACTGTTGACCCTGAAATGCCAGATTCAACAACAGCAAAACCAAAGATTAAACCAAAGATTACAGCAGCAAGCCATCACTTCACCACATATTAAGAATTTTGAACAAGGCGGTAACTAGTTATTTCCTCTCAATTCATTCTGTTTTATCTTCTTTTTGTTTTTCCTGTTTTTTTGTTGCAGGCAGTTCAAGGCTTGCCCATTGCATAGGTTCAGCTTTTCTCATGGTGATCTCAATCTTTGTTGCAGTCATTGTCACATAACTTCGCTTTACATCAATCACCTGCAATATCAAAGAGAATTAAAGTAAACCACAGGGGTGGTTTAATTAGTCTTAGGGGAAAATACTGGTCTTATCTATGTTAATAATCAAAAATCTAAGACTCTACTGCTATTTTTTTAAAGATTTTATTTATTTACTTTTAGAAAGAGGTGGAGGGAGGGAGGAGAGAAACAGCAATGTATGGGAGACGTATCAGTTGGTTGCCTCTCACATGCCCCCAACCGGGGACTTGGCCAGCAACCCAGGCACGTGCCCTGACTGGGAGTCCAAATGGTCACCTTTTGCTTTGCAGGCCGGTGCTCAATCCACTGAACCACACCAGCCAGGGCTCTAATGTGATTTCTATTCCTGGATTCCAAGTTTTTGGTTAGAATAACCAGGTTATACACTTACCTTGCATCAACTACTACGGTACTACCCTTTATTATATGAATGGTATTTTAGATTATACAAAAAAATTCTGCAGGATCCATAATACTTACTCCCCACAATTTCACATTTTGATGAAATTCCTTTTCTCCTTCAAATACGATGTGCACATTTAACTGAAAAAAAATATATATAGAAAATTGGGTGACCAAATCCAAACTAAAGGTTTATTATATAAAATAATGAGTATAAAAATAAGAAGATATTCATTAAAAACCTTTTAAGCTATTTTAACAAAGTGCCAATATTGTATTTTTTTGAGAAAAACGGTAATAGAAAAAAAATAACGAAGTTTTACACTGAGAAAACTAAGTACCACATTATTTGATAAATCTTCTAAACTACCACAGTACCTGCAGAATGCTTCACATATAACTCTATATGTAGAAATTTCCATTTAAGATAGTTTATGTGAAAATAATTTCAAACTATTTTTTCACATAGGAAAGATTATAAGATTTTACCTTAAAATTAGCTCAAGTAAGAACAGTATTACATCGACATAAACAAAAAATGTAAAAAAGACAGTTTTTACTCAGGGCTACTCAGTGTACTTACCAACGTACTGTTTGCAGCTACCTGACTAAGTTCTGGACGTGAATTTTTAGCATACACTGAGATGGTGACTTCACCCCCAGTTTGATGCCAGTCATGTCTACATGGAACAACCTTTTTCCCCTGGAACATAAGACAAACTTTAGGAATTTATAAAGTGCTACATAACCTCTTATGAAGGAGAATCTGACCCATCTAAATGAGAAAAAATTACCACGTGCAACAGAGCCCTTAATTTTTATAAGGGCAAACTTCAAAAATTTAAATATGTCATGATACAAAAAAACATAATTTTATGATTTGAGAACATGAGAATACACTTATTCCTTCTATTTTTTTCCGTTTAGGGCCACAGTATTAATATACATTTAAAAAGGTAATTTAAGAACTCCTACAGTATTTGACTTGTATTCTACAAACTGGAATTTGGGGAAAAAATAATCAACTGCTTACAACTATTTGTTATTGAATAATTATTTTCTCATAACAACATACAGAAAAAGTAAGAATTTGTGGAAGTAGTCTCTTGATTACTAACTATTATGGAAATAATTACTATCTACCAGTAGTATATTACCATATCAGCAACTATTTTTTAAAAAGACAAACTGTTATTTGTTTTATATATGAGGGTAAATTAGTCATATAATGCAGGAAACTGTGAGGCACTATTATTGTAAAAAGTATTATTTACATTTTGGTACCATTATACTATCTGAATTTAAATTGCTTTTATCACTTACATTTTATTTTGTCCTTAGGCTACTGGCTTAGACACAATACTTGACAAATGCATGCATTAAAAAAATAAAAACATTTCACTGAAGGTTATATTCTAAAAACTTTTCCATAGAAAACAAATTTACTTTTTCAAACTAAACCTTTCAAACTTTTCGACTCTGAAGAAAATACTGGGAGATGGCACTTTTTGATAATTAAACATTCCTAGTTTTGAGGTAGATGAATAATTGTGAGTGATATACAGCTTGAGGCAAAGGTAGGTTTACAGTTGTTAGTACAGAAAACAATACAATAATAAATAACACAAGAATAAATCCTGTGTTTCATGTACTCACAACTGTAAAACTACTTCTGCCCCACACTGTATTTATAATTTCCAACCATAAGTTACTAAAAAGCAAAAACTATAGAATACTCAAATGTAGAAGAAATCAATCCCTACAGCAACTTGAAAACTTATAATTACCTTCTAAGTTCAGATACATGTACTAAAGAGGTTCATTATCTTGGGTTTAATTTGTGTGCCAAGGGAGCACACAAATCTGATTTCATATATTATAAAACACATCAGTAATAGCTACCAAACACTTATTTAGTGATAAACTGCTTGTCTTCCTACAATTTAATGGGATTATTTGCAGGACCCAAGTCTTTTTAAAAAGCTGTCCAGGGAAGGAGGAACTGATGCTTTCTTTTTTCTTTTCTTTTTTTCTTTTTGTTGATAAAATTCCCTGTAGCAAGCAGAGGCATTCAAAACAATTCCAACAAGTCTGCCATATTCCTCTCTGGCCACCAGATGAAGTGTTTGTGCATCTGTAAATAGTTGAATGAACTGCTAAGAGGCCAAGAGAGAATCAGAGATCTAAACGATCAATAATTCAAATGAGTAGAAAAGTGATTTCTGTTACACAAAAAGTGGGAAAAAACCACAGAATTACAGAAAAACATGCTCTAATTTCTGCAGGCCTAAGTATTTAGTAAAAATCCATATACTTGTATCAGTATACACAATGGCTATTTTTTTTTTAAGATTTTAGAGACGGGGGAAGGGAAGGAGAAAGAGAAGGAGACAAACATCAATGTGTGGTTGCCCTTTGCACGTCCCCCATACTGGGGACCCTGCCTGTAATCCAGGCACGTGCCCTGACTGGGAATTGAACCGGCGACCCTTTGGTTCACAGGCCAGTGCTTAACCCACTGAGCCATGCCAGCCAAGGCACAATAACTATTTTGATCAAAGGCTTGCTCTGGGAGCTTGAGTGAGATTAAGTGTAGTTTTTAGGCCCATCGAGACTCTACTGTGAGGGAGAGACTTTTTTTTTTTAATCTAAAGACAGCATAATCTTAAAATTTTAAAACAACTCAGATAAAAACACATGAAAGCATAATTTTGAAAAGGTTACTTACAGCATCCTTTGCAGTCCACATGTGTTTTCCTGTTGTACAACCCTCTTGGGCTAAGAATGTATTAAAGTCAGAAGTTTTTCTTCTACAACAGCTCCAGTATTTCATCCTTTAAATTATTACAGAAAAATTTCAGAAATAAAATCTCACAACCAATCAAGTCCACAAGTATCATAGTGACAAGTGTGATTTAAAAAAAATCAATAAATAACTTTTAATATCTTACAAATGTCTAAGTTACCTAACAGCTAAAATTATCAAAAGACTAATAATTTAAAAACCAGGATGCTTGGATTCCCAGTCAGGGCACATGCCTGGGTTGCAGGCCAGTTCCCAGCAGGGGCCAGTTCCCAGCAGGAGTCACATGAAAAGCAACCACGCATTGATATTTCTTTCCATCTCTCCTTCCCTTCCCTTCTAAAGATAAATAAATAAAATCTAAAATAAATAAAATAAATAAAAAATAAATAAAAACCAGGATTCCATTTATTATAGCAATTTTGGAGCTCCTGAATAAAGATGCTTAAAACCACCACAAAATTCCAAATCAGCTTTTCACTGAAAGCTCACATTCTCATGTCCTCATGAAGCTACCAAAAAAGTGGTATAACCAAAAATTTTCTATCCTTACATTTTAATAACCCAAATGTGAGAATATGCAAGCAAACTGAAAAATGTGTCTGCTCAACTGTGAAGGTCAATCCCAAAGTAGGTGAAACCCACCATTATATACTTTTAAAAAATTTAACACTGGTAGACAAAAATTACAGAACTTTGGGTTTGAATCCTGAAGATTACTGGAAACAGAACGGAAGATTTTAACACAGTACTGTGTTTCTATAAACTACAGGGTAATACAGAAGAGAGGCTCTCAACTGAGGGCTATAGAAAATTTGTATGGGTTTTCTTGGGTGCCACACAATGCTGCTGTCCTTTCTGCCCCAGTGTTAAAAATAGTGAGTGTCCTGCAATGCACAGACAGTCCTTCAAGCAAAAAAACCTATTCAGCCCAAATAAGAGTATCACACTGAAACACAACAAAGTAAGGAGAAACATGAGGTCTGAATCACAATGGCCACCTAACTGTGACACTGTTTCAGTTTCTCATGTGTAAAAAGGCAAAAATCACATTTCTAGGTTATTGTAAAAACTACACAACAATCTAAATAAAATCTCTAATTACAGTGCATGGCAAATAATATTTAAAAGCATATTAACTTTTCTAACCTCTACCAGACAGTTTGAATTAGTCATGTATAAGTTACCCTTCATGGAAAATAGGTACTCCAGAATGGTATACACAGACTTCTTCTAGGCTCTGCAGACCCTGGTATGTCTAAAAGAAAGATAAGAAAAAAACATTACTTTCCTATGTCAATGTCACATTTCACACATACTGGTAGTACTGGTGATCTCTATGAACTATGAAAATGCTCAAGAAATAACATTACCTAGAACAGTCATAAATTCACCCCAGGCCATTCCAATAAGAAATAAAAAATGGTTCCTTTTGGAATATGCTTAAGTTTCAGTTCCCTATGAAAAAGGCAAATAGAAAAGTAGGCAATAGGATGTATTAAGATGCTTTCAGACTTTTGGGTATGAGGTCACATCTAAGCATATTCAGGTATTTAAATTTACAGAACAATATTAAAACCAAGAGATCAGTAATCTCAACAGAAATACAGTTACAGTATGATTTATGTGCATAGAAAACTCTGTGTGGGCATTATGAATTAATATGGAAACTCTAATAAGCAATTCTGGAATTTCTAGAGTGATGAGTTCTTATCCCCACGAAGGGTAAAATGAGCTGCCGACCTATATATATATCCAGGATTTGTCTGGAAGATCCGGGCCCCATTGCTGCTGTAGGTGAAGGCTCTACAGATGAATTCACAAAAAGTTATATTAATAAAACATAGATGCAGCCAGTAGTATATTTTCTCTTTTTTTGGTGTTTATTGCAACCACCTACAGTACAGAAAATAAAAATTCTGTATATTTACTTTTTTTTGTAAATCCAAAGTATCGTGTGTGTGTATCTCCTAAAATATACCATAAGTACATGAAACTCAGTATGTTAGATTCTGAATTTATCACTGTTGCCCCCCAAACTTCCTACTTGTCTTTCCACCTTATTTGATGACACCACATCTACTCAATCTCCCTGTCTGTGCTCTACAATTTCTCCTCTTCCTCTGCCTATACCTTGTATATCACAAAACTGTCAGTTTGACTTAAAAATGTCTATCAGTTTAATCTGCTAACATTCCTCATGATCACCAGCAGATTTCAGGCAATAAAACTATACTAACAGATTCTGATTTATGACCTTGAAGTAAGCAAATTTCTTAAATAGGACTCAGAAAACAATGGAAAAGATGGACAAACTGGATATTACTAAAGAGCCTCTGTTTATCAAAAGCCATTATTAAAACAGTGAAAATGTATAGTGTCTCTAACAAAGAACTTCAGCCAAAAAAATATACATACACACACACACACACACACACACACACACACACACACATATATATAAATAAAGAATTCCAAAATTCAGTAAGAAAAAGCAAACTTAATAAATGAGTAGGTAGAAGATTTTGGACATTTTACAAAAGATGATATCCAAATGGCCAATAAAAATACAGAAGAGTATTCAATTTCACCATCTGGAAAGTTAAAACCACAGTGGGAACACTACACATCCACCAGAATGATTAAAATATAAAAGACTGATCTACCAAGTGTTACCCAGCTGTAGAACAAATGAAATCAGTAATAAATTGCTGGCAGGAGTGTAAATATAACCACTCTGAAAACCTATGTGGAAGTATCTGTTAAAACTGAACACATGCACACTCTCTATATAATCCAGCCATTCTACTTCTAGTCATATCTCTAACAGAAATGTATTCATCTGTCATGCCCAAAAGTCATGCCCAAAAATGTTCAGGTAGCATTAATACAAAAAATTTAAAGGGCAGTAGAAAGGGTAAATTGATTGTACATTCAAACAATGGCATATTTTAAAACAATAAAGATGAACAAGCTACAGCTACGTGTAACAAAGATAACTCTAATAAACATTTTCTTCAGCAAGGGTAACTACCCTATAAATCTATTTACACGAAGCTCAAAAACAGGCAAAACTAATCTATGCTGATAGAAAAAATGTGGTTACCTTTGTGACTGGGAATAATGAGAGGAGGCATGAGGAGGACATTACTTTGTGAAAATCCCTTGAGCTATAACTTATCTTTGTATGTTTTTAAACATTATAGTTCAGTGAAAAAGATTAAAAGTTGTCTTTAATGGCCTCCATAAGCTAAAGTCTAATTTAAAAATTTTTTTTTTTACTTAGTTATAGAGAGAGGGAAAGGGAGGCAGAAAGAGAGGGAAAGAATCACCAATCTGTTGGATCGGTTGGTTGCTTCCTGTATGCAGACCAAACCTGCACCCTAGGTATGTGTCCTGCTGGGTATTGAACCGGCCACCAAACTGTTGACCTTTCGTTTTTTGAGATGATGACCAACTGAGGCACACTGGTCATAATGGGCTAAAGTTTAACTTTTGAGCATTGTAAGAGCCTTTTAGGATCTGGCTCCTATTCACCTCTTTTAATCTTAACTTCACACTAACAAATTCTGTGCCATTATTAATTATTGTTTTCTGTATGCTACTTGTATCACATACCTCTGCTTGGGCTATCCTTTCCCTTTTTGTCCATTTACAGAATTGTCATATGGTTTCAAAATTCATCTGGGATACCTTCTCTCTGTGGATCTTCCTCCACTAACCTATCACTTGCACTGTCTCCCCTACCCCAAGAATTAATCATTCTCTTTTATCTACCTTTGTGAATACATTTATATTTCCATCCTTGAGTAAGGTGATCTCAAACTTAACCTGAAGGCAAGCTACAAACCTATTCCCCCCAACCCTATCTTTTTTCTCCCTTACTGTCACCAGTCACCTGATGTTGGAGTCACAACCCCCTTCCTTCACCTCCAGTTCATTAGCAAGTCCTACTAATACTCCAAATTATCATTCATTCTAGAACATATCTGCAATGTGCCAGGTACTGTTCTAAGCATTCAAAATACAGCAAAGAACAAAACAAAATCATTTCCTTATAAATCTTACATGAGGGAAGAAGAGAAAGTTAGATGGGATAATTATTAAAGTAAATATGCAAAATTAGTCATGTGTTATAAGATGCTAAGTGCTATGGAGAAAAAGGGAAGGAGTGGGTATTTTGGAAGATATGCAATTTTACATAGAGTAGGCAGGAAAAAGCCTCACTGAGATATTTGATTACATCCCACATTTAACCACTTCTCAAAAACATACCCTCCAATCTCAGTGCCTGGTCATTCACAATAGCATCCTAACTGGTTTTCCTTTTTCAAATTCTACTCCTGCTTCATTATATTTGCCACTTAGTAGCCAAAGACAATTTTAAAACCCTTCCTTAAAACAGATAATAGCTCCCCATTATAGTGAGAATAAAGCCCAAACACCTCATTGTTGCCTGTAAGGACCTCCATAATCTTGCCTACGTCTCCTTTTGCACTACTTAGGTAAACACTTCTGACCAAGCCTCACTGACCTCTTACATAATTCTTTGAAGAGATAAGCTCTAAAACCTCTACACACACTTCTCCCAAGTCTACTCCAAGGGCTATGTAGCTCACCCACTACTGTATTCAGATTTTTGATTTAGTGTCATCACGAAACATTTCCCTGACATTGTGACTTAAAGCTTCACTCTATTTCCTTGTCTTCATAACTACCTGAATTCATTTAAATTACCTGTTTGTTGTTTTTCTCCCCCAACTGTATCAGCTTCACAAGAATAGAGATTTCTGTTTTATTTAATACTATGTCCCTAGCCCCTAAAACAATGTCTCACACATCGTTAAGTTCTCAGTGAATGCTGACTATATTAGCATTATTTAACCCCAGGATTCTATGACGTATATTGCTCCTCAGAGACAGTCTCTTATCCATGTTCATAAGCCCTAGCTCATAGCACAGTGCCCAACACGTAATAGGCACAAAATGCATGTTAAATTGATTCACTAAATTGCACTCACTTTTTTCAAATTAAAATTTTACTTCTATGACTCAACACAGACTTTTACAACATATACCTTTGAACACCCTCCATTTTTACATGAAGTCCCAATTTTAATTTCATCACTGTCTTCATCTGAAACAAAAAATCAAATGAGAAACATTAAAATACAATATTTTAGTAGTGCCACTCTTAAAAAGTAACCTTTTCCATAAAACAAGTATTTACAAAGTAATTTAAATATAAAAAGCACTAACATTTTAAAATTAAATAATTTAAAGTTAAAATCATTTTAAGTAAGTTTTTTGTAACCTTTCAGGTAATGTATTTAGAAAGCTAGTAAGTCAATTATTGTGATTAGATTTTACCAATACCCCAAAAATGGCATGACACATTTCTATTCTAGAATACAATTTTATATCCAATATCTTAATCTTGTGAAAGGAAAATCAAGAAAGGGTAGTTTTTCCCCATGGTATCTAGAATAGGTCAGAGAATACTGAATAAATTTTATCTTGTGTACAATGAAACATTTATAATTATCAAAGAAAGCTAACTCACTGTTAAACCACATATCCATTCTGGTATTGCTAGCATTTAAAGAACAGAAATAAGTTCTTTCCTACAATATGCTACTTTTTCATTATAGATTTGGTCACATATACGGCTCTCATCTTTGTTAGATAAATGATTAATTGTACAGAAAAAAATTACAGCATAGAAAACAAAAATCTTACCTCTATTTTTTTCATTCCCCGATGACAGTTTAAGTTTATCAAGTGCTTGTTTAAGGGAAGCAGATACTTTTAATTCCAAATTTGTCATTGGTTCATCTGGGCTGGAGAATTTTGAAAGTTTATTACCATCACTGATGTACCAAAATATTTCTTTGTACTAAAAATAAATATACTTAAGAGTCTATTTATAGAAAGAAACCAAATGGTTTTGAATCAAGTTTTTCCTACTAAAAATATTTAACCTATCTAAAGTTTTAACATAAAAAGCTCTGATATTAAAATATTAAGTCTCAAATAATCATGCTATCACCAACATATTAAATTAATCAGTAAGGCTAATGGGAAGGAAATAAAGACTAGCAATCCAAGTTTGTCAAGATGAGTTAGCTCAAAGGGACCATGATGTACTTTTACAATCCATGCCTAAACAAAATGCTGAGCTTATAATAAACAAGCAATACATATCTACTAAGTGAATATATATTCCTGGTGAAGGTAATTAACTTTGTATGGACAATGGTATATGCATCTATAATAAAGTCAGATACAATTATATCACAAGGCAATTTCAGTAGAGTTAAGAAAAACAATTAACAGCATCCCCTAACATTTCACAATGCTACCAGTATGTATTGTATAATATGTTTAAGGCCATTTAATAAATAAGAATATTAATACAATAAGTATAGAAATCCCGGGGCATTTCCGGCCAAGATGGAGGTGTAGGCAGACACACTTTGCCCCCTTGCACAACCAAAAGGATAGTAACAAATTTAAAAACAAAAACAACCAGAACTGACAGAAAATTGAACTGCATGGAAATCCAACAACCAAGGAATTAAAGGAAAAAACATTCATCCAGACTGGTAGGAGGGGCGGAGACAGGCAGCCAGGACATCTTTAAACATTCTAACATCGAAATCATAGGGGTGCCGGAAGAAGAGGAGCAAGAAATGAAAAACTTATTTGAACAAAAAAATAAAGGAAAACTTCCCCAATCTGGTAAAGGAAATGGACTTCCAGGAAGTCCAGGAAGCTCAGAGAGTCCCAAAGAAGGGGGACCCAAGGAGGAATGTTGTAGACCACTCTGCCTAGTTTTAGGAATTGTATCTCTACCCCTTGTTGAGAGACGACCTCTGGAATGCCAGCTGCAGGAGACAAAGCCTGTCTCTGGTAGCAAACGCTGCCTCAGTTCCTCTCCCTGCCCCCAAAGCTTGGTCGGAAGTCAATGACGGGTGAGACCCCTCACAGTGGGGGGCAACCTAAGCCAGACTCCATCACTTGGGAGGCCTTCATGGAAGGACTCGGGGGGGCTGCAACGAACAGGGAGCAATGGACTCTCACCCCCGGGCTTTGACACAGCCCGAGTCCCCATGTTCTCTGGAAGAAGTGCTTCCTGGCTCTAATCCCCTTAAGCCTGAATACCTGATGGGAAGAGGTGCAGCTCCTTGCCTGGCCAGAGCGTGCCCTGGGGAAAAATCTGGCACCACAAAGACTTGCTGATAAACCTGTGAAATGTGCTCTGCTAAGAGTGCTTTCATTCATATGATAAGGGTCCGAGAGGAAATGAGTATGTCTCCCAAAGTTTCTGCAACTCTTCCTGACAAACACTCACTCAGACTGAAACGCTCAGACCTCTTTGAAATGTTATCTACTGTTTGATCCTTACCGCCCTGTATTCCTGTGTATTACAACCCAATAAAAGGCTATGGAAGAGGGCGCTTGGGGCCTTCTTCTCCTTGGAGAAACTGGCCGCTGTTGGCCTCTTTCTTGCCAGAGAAACTGGCCACAGCCCACTCCTCCATCCCCAAACAGATCCAGCATGTCTTGGCCATATTTACTCATTCACGCATGTCTGTGGCACCGAGGGGAACTTGAGAAAGAAGTTGCCCCCACAGAGGAACACATCAAGGCACACCATAATTACATTACCCAAGATTAAAGGTAAGGAGAGAATCTTAGAAGCAGCAAGAGAAAAGGAGAGAGTTATCTACAAAGGCATTCCCGTAACACTGTCAGCTGATTTCTCCAAAGAAACCTTACAAGCAAGAAGGGGCTGGAAAGAAATATTCCAAGTCATGAAAGGCAAGGACCTATACCCAAGATTGCTCTATCCAGCAAAACTTTCATTTAGAATGGAAGGGCAGATAAAGCACTTCTCAGATAAGGCCAAATTAAAGGAGTTCATCATCACCAAGCCCTTATTATATGAAATATTAGAAAAAGAAGATAAAAAATATGAAAATATGAACAGTAAAATGACAACAAACTCGTAGTTATTAACAACCACACCTAAAACAAAAAACAAAGACAAAACCAAGCAAACAACTAGAACAGAAATAGAATCACAGAAATAGAGATCACATGGAGGGTCATCAGCAGGGGAGGGGGAGAGGGGGGAAAAGGTGGAAAAGGTACAGAGAATAAGTAGCATAAATGGTAGGTAGAAAATAGACAGGGGGAGTGCAAGAACAGTATAGGAAATGTAGAAGCCCAAGAACTTATAGGTATGACCCATGGACATGAACTAAAGGGAGGGAATGGGGGTGGGAGGGGGTGTGCAGGGTGGAGAAGAATGAAGGGAGGAAAAATGGAACAACTGCAATAGCATAATCAGTAAAATATATTAAAAATAGAAATCCTAGGTTATTCATTCTACATCATTAAGGAAATAAAACTTCTGTCTGATACAGGAGGCCATTAACAAAGGACATAAAAAACCTATATCCTCATAATCTCTACAATACCACCAAATGAATTCAGGATATTTAATTTCTCTTACTTCCTCTTAAGTAAAACTAGTAGCAGTCTATTGTTTAAAGAAAACAGTACCTCATATCACCAATTATAGTATTAGAACTACACTGTAATACTCAGGAAGGAGTCATACCAGAATTCCTGTCTTTTTCTGATAATGATTTTTTGACTGGCAAATCAACCAGCAAGGCATTTGATAAAATCTCTCATGATTATTAATAATTTGAACATGGAATAAAATCATTCTAAGTAGTTTATTTATATAAACAAACATTAAAAATTCTCTTAGGATTCTTATCTTGGTCTGGAATTATTCAATATGCTGTAAATTAAGTAAGATCAATAAAGAAAAAAGTCTGGAAAACGGTAAGTCCACAGTATGAATAAAATATCTATAGGAGCCTTATTTGAGGCCCAAACACTGTTTTCTGGTTCCTGTATTTTGGTTCTAAAACAATTCCACACTCACATGTAATATGAAGACCTAATATAACGGTGGTACCCAATATGCATGTGTGGGAATGCCAAATTAAGAGTCTAGATGACCAAAATGTGAGTATGAAGAATCTGTATAATTTTATTGCAAACTGAACAAAAGGTATTTTAAAAGTATTTTAACAGATATACTATCTAAATTAAATACATAAAAAACCTGTCAGTAATAATAAGACTAATAGTCTTCAGTATCAGAAAGTAAAAGATGAATCACTGGGCTTGTTCTAAGTGGCAAAATATGAACAAGTAAAAAAGAGAATTTAGCTCAATACAAGGGAAAATTATATACTGATTTAGTAACAATATAATGGACCATTCTGAAATAAAAGGAAATTCTTTTTTTTACTAGATTTGAAAAGGAACTAAATATTCTGCCATCAAGAATGCCCTGGGAAATACTTAAGAAACAGCAGACAGAAACAAAGACTTCTAAGATTTTTTAACCCACACTGATTCCCTGACAAGGACAATTTCATTACAGAATTTCAATACGCCACAAAGAAAGACAAAAGCCAAGGCACAGGACTTATGTGTGGTTCCCCAACCCTTTGACAATTATGCAGACCTGCTCATTTGCACAGTGAGCAAGTCTGCAACGAAGTTTATTGTGTGCATGGCTTCAAGTTGAGGGGAAATAAAAATAAAAGATATATTTAAAGGAAAACCAAATAATAAAAAAGTTGGTGACCTGAACAATTGTTACAAACAGAATTATGCAACATCATAAAATACCAAGGACAAATGTTATTATTCAAATGTACCAAAAACATGCCAACTGTAAAAAGTGTACCTTGGCCTCTTTATTGCTTCTACTGGTTTAGGGGCTTGAATGATGTGCTCCTGAAATTTGGGCTTCAATTCAGATAGTTCTTTCTTCTCAGTAGTCTTGACTTCAGGTTTGACTGGCTCAGGCGGCTTTTCACTGTTATGTTTTCCTTTTGTACAGCCCTGTTAGTGAAAGGTATTAAGAGTTGTCCTCTCATCTATTTCACATGCTATGATAGAAATATAATCTTTAATTCTTTATTAATAAATCTTATTTTCTTCACTTTTATCTCATAGACTTATTTTAAAAACTATTAATACTCCAAACTTGCTGTATTTTTAAAGAGTTTATTTATTTGTTTTTAGAGAAGGGAGGGAAAAAGAGAGGGGAAAAAACATTTATATGTGATAGATATATTGATAGGTTGCCTCTTGCACACCCCCAACCAGGGATCTGGCCTGCAACCCAGGCATGTGCCTAGACTGGGGATCAAACCGGCAGGCAACCTTTTGGTTTACAGGCTGGCACACAAAGCACTGAGCCACACCTTCAGGGCATATTTGTTATATTTTTAAATAAGTTATTACGTCTAAATAATGCTTTTTTTAAAGCCTCTGAATAAAACTTTATAAATATCTACTTAACTCTATTAAATGTACAGCACAAACTTCTTGTTTATAGGATACAAATTCTAGAAAATGTACAAAGAGAATGCTATAAATTATTTACAAAATAGGGCCTCAATCTGATCCACAGTTCTGTACTACCTAGTTATATGACCTTAAGCAAGCTAATTAATCTTTTTAAACCTCCGTTTTCAGTAAATGGAGATAATGGCACCTAAGGTATTAAGAGGATTAAATAAGATCGACTACTTGGCACATCTGGCAGGTGGCAAACATTCAGTAAGTATCTTATCCACATTCTACTGAGTCACACATACATTTTAACATCTCTGAAATCATAAGATCAATGCCACATCACTCGATTAGCAGCTTAATTTTCTTTCTAAAATGTATTCAAAATAATTGTACAGTTCAATGGCATCTTAGATTTGGTAAAAATGTTTTGTTCCTAACTGAAAATGTATTTACTTTTTGCCTACCACCTTCCATCTTCTAGATGTTCTTTTAGAACTGCTAACATCAAGAATAAACCAAAATTGGCAACTAGAAATTTTAATCTCTAAAACAGATAAATTCCTATTTTAAAGAGTGTAGGAAGGAGATGAGCTCCATTTTAAAAGAAAAGTATGATCTGCAAATTAAGAGGGACTAGTCTAAAATCAGACTCCTCAAATTTGGAGCTTTCCAGAATATGTACTTTTAGGAGATAATTTAGAAAAAAAATTAATACTTACCACAATGCTTAAAAAATCAGAAAAATCAGTTGTTCTTCTCTTACAGCAAGACCAACCCTATGAAACATAATAAAAATACTGAAAATTGTATTTGCATGAAAACCACAACCCAGTGAAATATTCTACTTGTACTTATCTTCTTGAATCTGGAAGTGACTTGCACATATATGTATTCTACAGTTTTGAAATGGTGTAAAATGACTCATCTAACCAAATGAAATGTTTTTAGTCCTTGGTTTTATTAAAACAGTGTTAGAAGTGATATGTGTTATGATCTATTAAGAAAAGAAACACTTCTTTAAAAAGGGAAACAAAAACCCCATCTGTTTTTGAAAATAGTACTTGATTGCCCCAGCCAGTTGGCTCAGTTGGTTAGAGTGCCATCCCTGTGAACCAAAAGGTCATGGGTTCAATCCCCAGTCAGGGCACACATAGGGGGCAACCAATCTGTGTCTCTCTCTAAAATCAATTAAACATATCCTTAGGTGAGGATATTTTTAAAAAGCAATTAATTTTTAAAAGTCAGAGATAATTATAACAACTTAGTTTCTAAATATTGTAGCTGTTCCTCAACAAAAGTTCTATTTTTAGAACATAGATTAATTAATGTAGCAGCCTTAGTATTGCTAGATCTTTGAAGGTTAAATAATCTTTTCAGTCAGAAGCATAACAAAAATTGTTATATACTACGTAATTTCTGAACAAAACATCAACTAGCTTATCAAAAAATTCCTTTAAGCCCTGGCTGGTGTAGCTCAGTGGTTTGAACACGGGCCTCGAACCAAAGGATCGTGGTTCGATTCCCAGTCAGGGCACATTCCTGGGTTGCAGGCCAGTTCCCAGCAAGGGACGCATAAGAGGCAACCATACATTGATATTTCTCTCCCTCTCTCCTTTCCTTCCCCTCTAAAGATAAATAAATAAAATCTTTTAAAAAATGCCTTTAAATTTAATTCCACTGGAGTACAGAAAATAATAAAAAAAGGCAGCACTCTCAAGACTTCGGAAGTCTGAAATAAAGAGTCAGGGGCAGCTTCGCATGCAACCATCTGTACTTCACTGCTTTTCCTAATATACTGCTTGAAGAATTAGGTAGTGAGGTATTTTCACAATATACACATAAAGCTTTTCTTGAAGAAAATTTAAAGTATGCTATAATTCAAAATTCCCTTTATTTTGAAATTTAATTCTTTACTCTAATTTGAGACACAGAGTGGCATTTGGGACAGATAAATTTAAATATGTAAGGTTACTACTATTTCTTAAGAAGGATTGTCCTCTAAATATGCCTCTTCTCATTTAAATATTAAAATATTCTTTATTAATGCAGTGTTTAACTTCTTATTTGGTTAAATAGAAAACCGGCAACAGTAAACACTGTATTGATTTACATATTTTAAAATCCAGTGAGCTGTGAAATCCAATAGTCTTGGAAAGTCTAGGTCTTCAAGAAATGTTTATGGAGACAATAAAAAACAGGATTGGAGAAGAGAGAAATAGATACTTTGAAGTAAAATTATTAATATTAACTCATCGGAATAATTAACAGTAATGTAGTAAAAAAAAAAAAAGCGATGGACTGGCTGACTGGAAAGTTAAGTGATATAATTACTAGCAGCAGCAAAGATGAGAGGCAGGTTATTTCTGGACCAAGAATCCACTTTAGAAACTGGTGTGTGGTTGCCAATGACACAAATAAACGGAAACATGCTGCAGAAGCCACAAAGGTAACATTTAAGGCTAGGGATGAATTAACAAAAAGAGAGAAAATAGGAAGTCAAAGACTGAGAAACAAAGTACGACTATGGTTAAGATAGAAAAAAAACATCACAGAAAAAGAAAAAAATATATATAAAATAGGAAAAATAAACAGAATGGCAGTCCAGGGAAGATAAAAATTGCCCCACCCTTGGAAAAAAGTATATTTCCACAGAATCAGAGTTTCTATCTGCATAAGTTTTCAAAAAGGCTAAAAAGATATGAGAAGAAGTCAAGTCTCAACTTGCCCTATTGAATGTTTGGTCCATTTTCCTCACTGAGAACTAACTAGAATAGCATTAACGTGATGTTTGCTTATACACCTTTGTTTATGGTTGGCTACTTAACAGATAAATACCAGAAAATGCCCAAATACTTTCTGAAAGGTACTGTTAGAAATTCAAAGGGCACTGAGAATATAGTTAAACATTTAATAAAACTGTTAATGTTCCTATGTACAAGTAGCAGCAGCTAAATCCATGCTGCAACATTTTAAGATCTACAATGGGAAATGTACCATATTACCATAAATTGTAAAAAGTCAATAATCTCTCCATGAAAAACCTGGTCAAACAACATTCTGTTATTTCACTACCTCTCCAGAACACCCAAGTACACATGGGAAATAGGTGGCATCTCTTTCCTGCTTACTTTCACTCTGGACTTACATGTACATGGGAACTTCTGGGTAAGATGGAGGCCTCCTTGCCTCCTTCACTCTGCCTCCTTGCACAACCAAAAGAAGGACAACACATTTAAAAATAAAAAATAACCAGAACTGCCAGAAAACCAAACTATATAAAGTCTGACGACCAAGGAATGAAAGAAGAAACATTCATTAGGACTGGCAGGAGGAGCAGAGACAGGCAGCCATGGCAGAGAGGACATGCAGCAGGGTGGCTGGAGGACCCTGCGGGGGAAGGCAGGGTCTGGTGGTCCCACATCTGAGTGAGGATAAACTTGGAGGAACAACTGGAGAGTAAGATGGACCACGCAACCCAGGATTCCAGTGTGGGGAAATAAAGCCTCAAAACCTCTGGCTGTAAAGAGCTGTGGGGGTGGCAGAAACTCCCAGCCCCACAGTAAAGTTTGCTGGAGACACTCAGGGTCCCAGAATGTACACAAACCCTTCTACCCAGGAATCAGCACCAGAAGGGTCCAATTTGCCTGTGGGTAGCAAGGGAAGTGACTGAAAGCTGCACAAGAGCCAAGCAAGTGGCAATGTTCCCTTTCTGACCCCTCCCCCACATATAGTACTACAACACAGTGATGTGAGCGAGTTGCCTCGCCCTGGTGAATACCTACTGCTCCACCCCTTACAAAGTAACAGGTGAACTGAGACAAAAAAAATATGACAGAAATGAAAGACCAAAACTCCAAAAATAGAACTGTATAAAGAGATAGCCAACCTATCAGATGCAGCGTTCAAAACAATGTTAATCATGATGCTCACAGAAATGATAGAATATGGACACAAAAAGAGAGGAAAAAGTGAAGACCACGCAAAGTGAATTAAAGAAAAATATATAGGGAACCAAGAATAAGAGGGACGAAACTGGAACCCTAATCGACAATCTGCAGAAGTAAGAAATAAACATTCAACCAGAACAGAATAAAGAAACAAAAATTAGAAAAAATGAGGAGAAGTTTAGGAACTTCTGGGACAACTTTAATCATAGGGGTACCAGAAGGAGAAGAAGAAGAGCAAAAACAAGAAATTGAAAACTTATTTAACAAGTAATGAAGGAGAACTTCCCAAATCTGGCAAAGGAAATAGATTTCCAGGAAATCCAGATAGCTTAGAGAGTCCCAAAGAAGTTGGACTCAATGAAGTACACACCAAGGCACATCATAATTACATTAGCCAAGATTAAAGATAAGGAGAGAATCTTAAAAGCAGCAAGAGAAAAGGAGACAGTTACCTATAAAGGAGTTCCCATAAGACTATCAGCTGGTTTCTCCAAAGAAACATTACAGGCAAGGAGCTGGAAAGAACTATTTGAAGTCATGAAAGGCAAGGACCTACATCCAAGTTTCCTCCATCCAGCAAAGCTATCAGAATGGGAGGGCAGATAAAGTGCTTCCCAGTAAGGTCAAGTTAAAGGAGTTCATCATCACTAAGCCCTTATTACATGAATATGTTAGAGAGACTTATCTAAGAAAAAGAAGATCAAAATACAAATAGTAAAATGACAACAAACTCACAACTATGAACAACTGAACTTAAAAACAAAAATGAACTAAGCAAACAACTAGAACAGGAACGGAATCACAGAAATGGAGATCACATGGAGGGTTATCAGCGGGGAGAGGGAGAATTGGGAAAAATGTACAGGAAATAAGAAGCATAAATGTTAGGCACAAAATAGACAAGGGGAGGTTAAGAATAGTATAGGAAATGGAGAAGCCAAAGAAACTTGTATGTACTACCCATGGACATGAACTACTGGGAGGAGGGAGGGTGGGAAGGGTGTTAGTGGAGGGGGGGGTTGCTGGGAGGAGGGGAATAAAAGAGAGAAAAAAATGGGACAGCCATAATAGCATAATCAAAACATACTTAAAATAAAATAAACATACATGTATGTCCTGAGATTGGCACCATTTAGAGTTTATATCAATCTTCCCTAAAATTCAAAGTTGCTCTTACTAGACAGCAGCTGCGTGGCAGGTTGAGATTAGGATTCAAAACAACTGCTTTCATTTCTCCTCAAAATTAGTAAAGTGAAGAAATAAGAAGTACAGAAATTGAGGAGTTGGGATAGAAATAATATAATTTTATAACTGGAAAAGACCTATACCTGCATTTAGTGGAGTATCTGCTCAAATTAACTGAAAGTGGTCATTGAGAAAACAGAGAGTTACAAAAGATGAGAAAATAAAGATTCAGTATTATACCTTTGAATTTACATTACAAATATAAAGAGCCTGAAATATATCAAGTTCCTACCTTTAATGCATCATGAAAGACTGGAACACCTGGGTGGTAGGTGCAAGCATCTGGTCAAAAACAAGAAGAAACAATTATCAGTTTATAATAAAAAATAACATTATTTCCTTCAGGCAATAATATTTAACCTTCTTTCCAAATGCAGGTAATATTTTTCCTTAAAAATTCATTAATCCTAAAGTGTGATGCATGGTACACAGTGCTTAATATAACATTGTATTAAAATAGTAATAAAGTTCTGTTCAAGAGTATCATAGCTATAGATAAAAATAATACAGAATAGTTCAAGTGTAACAAGTTATGTTCTGTACTCCTGTTATTTGTAGTAAAAGGTATTTAGTACCAAAACTTCATTCTCCGAAGTTTTGACTGTCATCTTTCAATTGTTTTTAGAAAAATACTATCAAACTTAAATTGTCCTTATGTGTCTTTGTCCATAAGATTAAAGAGATTCCCTAAAAAGATATTTTATGAGAAAAGGTTCAAAATTTTGAAAGCTGATAAATCTGCCAGTTTAACTTTTGTGTTAATTCCTAGATACATACCTCATTAAAAAGAAGTTGTTTTACAGTCTATTTTCACTGATTGTTATTCTGATTTCCTTATACCCTTCTTCATTACATCACTAATTTTTACCTTATTCTTTTATAAAATGGGCTCATTAGACTTTGCAATAAAGAGTATTAAGTTTTAAAAAATTAGATTAATAGAACACTTTTTTCCTGGCTGAGGGAACCATAAGCTTAGAAAAAACAGGTCAGCTCCACACCTGTGTAATTTTCTTGTAAGGCTGCTTTGCTCAGCCTTCATGTCTGCTTAGATTTCAATAGTTACAACCTCAAATTCTGGTGCTGCTGTAAAATGATTAATTGCTAGTACTTAAGGAAATCTCCTATCCCAGTATTAACAGCCATTATGATTCCCTAACTTAGTAACCAGGTGTTACCCAGACACTGTGCTAGCAAATCAAACAAAGTTTCAAGTATTTACATGGCACAGTAAGTAAACCCACGGATTAGAAAGAAGCTATTAATTAAGGGTTAACAAAGGAGGTTCAAAATAGAAGTGAATATGCAAAGGGTTATGAAATTGAGAGGGGAATCAAAGTAGAGAACAGAGAAAGTATTTTTAAATACCAAATTTACAAAGAGTCATGGGGGTAAAATGCATAACGTAAAGCACAGTAAGAGGTATTATCATACTAACTGTCAGTTCTGGCAGAATGGCAGTAGCAATGAGTCAGGTTTTAGCCACACAACTAGTATGAACAAAATTGGAAAAACACTGCTTTCAAAAGTAAATAACCGACAGATGGTCAATGTCCTGTCTAGCTTTTTGCATCAGGTTTACCAGTTTTTCTCAAAGAAATATTTGATGGAGAAGAAGCTCCATGGTAGCTCCATGGAGCTCCATAGAAGCTCCATGGTACCACTACCATGGTAGTGGTTAAGAGCCAAGGGCTTTTAACACTGAATCTGACCCTTGCTCGAATCTGGTTCTGCCTCTTGGTAGCTGTTTCAATTTCCTCACATACTGCTCTGTGGATTCAATAAAGTACTGTTTGTGATGTGATGCAATTTGCAGAATATTGCTTAATATAAGCAAGCTATGGATCAGGTTTTCCTTAAACACTCATTTAGCTGTGTTTCAAACTAAAATGTGCTATCAGCTTAGAAGGGAGTCTCGTTATTTAGTCAATATATGTAGAACTTCTCCCATTACATAGAACTTTCACCTGAGTCAAGTTTGCCCTTGGCTCTTGTCTTCTCCCTATCTTCATTTTCTTAACTTTCCATTCTATCAATGAACTTATTGGAGTATTCATTCTTAGTCCCTAAAACAAGCCCCATTTTTCTAAAGCAAATCTACTTTGAGCAGCAACCTTATTGGCACTCTCAGGCAAATCTGTTACTACTGTCCATCACTCAATCCTTGAGACTGTCTACTCCTCCGCCGTTCCTGCGACCCACCCCCCATCTCTTTCCTAGGACTGCACCAACGACACACGCAGGGCTGACTTCCAAAACATGGAGGTATCTCCTCTTAATTTAGGCCGATATAGAACACCCTATAAACATACTGTCTGGTACAACAAAGCATCAGCCTTTCCTCTTTAATTGATACTAAGGTGGAATACGTGCAGACACTAAGTTTACTTTTTTACAGAGGCAATGGTTTCACTTTAAGTGACCTCACTAATTCACCTGGGCGCCAACATAAGTATTTCAGACATCTCAGAGGTCAGAAAGATTTTTAAAAGGTAAAGAATTTAATCTTCACAATGAGTAACCATGTTGCTACCTTGATGAACTCAGCTTCTCTGAATAAATACATACTTCGCAGGGTTGCTGTGACTGAGATAATGTAACAGTGTCTAATATCTGGCACATAGAAGATATACACTAAACAATAAACGAATTTGAGAAAGTGGTGTCATGTCCTGCAATAAGCAAAGAATCGACTTACTTTTTTGTCCGAGTCACCAATAAAAACTCACGTTCATTGATCCTTTCCTACTTTTCACGTAGTCTAGTCATTAACTTTCACTTTACGTCTGCAACTCTATACTTTGGGGTGGTGGAAACAATTCAATCCCCTTATCCATCAGATGGCATGTAATGAAAACACGAAGGCCACACGCCCTGGCCGGTTGGCTCGGCTGGCTGGAGCATCACAAGGAAAGGCTCCGGTTCCTTCCCGGTCAGAGCACACACCTAGGTTGCGGGTTTGAGGGAAGCAACCAATCGATCTTGACATCTCTCTCTTTCAGCAATGAAAACATATCCTCAGATGAATATAAAATAATAAAAAGAAGAAATAGGAAGGCCATAGCAAAAATACCCAGCACAAATGCCGCTCACTCCCCTCCCCCCCCGGGGGGCAGGTCTAATACAACTTAACAGCATAAAGATACAGAACGATTTTTCTAGCCAACCCCACTTTTTTAAAAAAGTAACTTTGTAACAGTGGGTCTTCCAGGCACCCGCACAGCAGGCTATCAGACAAATAAATTCCTATACAAACACGAGGCCACCCCTAAATGTTAAGAGTAAGCTGCCTACTGCCCAACCAGGCCATCTCCGTACGTCAGTCTGCGTCTTTCTTACACACTTACTTACACACACACTCATGGCGAATCACTCCCCAAGCGAGACCACTAGCACCTGGCTGACTTTTTGAGTCTCCAAATAGACCGAGGTGGGGAGAAAGATGTTCTAAATTCCGGGCGATTGAGAAAGAGCGGACGGCTGGGGGAACACGTGCGGCCACGGGGAAGCCGTCAGTGGGTTCGGCTGGCAGCAGAGAGAGAGGCGTCAGAGGCGGTTGCCGGGGCGCCCGGCCAGAGGCCCGGCGCACTAGGGAGACAGCAGCCGGGGTGGCCGGAAGGGCCCTGGCGGGGGCGGCGCAGCGAAGGCTCGCGGGGGGACCCCGGCCCACCGTCGGGCCCACGGGCGTCCCCCGGGATGCGGTGGAGAGAGGGGGGCAGGAGGTCAGCGCGTTTCTCTTACCTTCAGAATTGGTCTCGGGATCGAAGCGCTGACCGCAGCCTCGGTTGTAGCACAGTAGAGCCATTTTCCCCCACAGATACAACTCAGGCCCTAACACCGGGACGCTAGGCAGTGCGTTTACAGTTCTCCCCCCGAGATCAGTGTTCTGCAGTCTGGGCGGCAGCCTGCTTCCGGAAACGGCCGCTTTTGCGTCAGGAACCTTCGCGAATTATCCTGTCGCGCAGGCGCAGAAAGATGGGAAGAAGCGGGGGAGGAGTCAGGAGGCGGAGCAACTAGCGGGCCGTCACGCGTCTGACACCCGCTTGCTAGCGTCCAGAGGTCGGAGGTGGAGGTCAGGGGTTACAAGGAAAATCTCGGAGGTAGAAAACGGGGTCCCATTGGACCTCTTCTCTCCCCAGTTCGTCACTCTTTATCGGCTGTGGGTGTGTCTCGTGCAGATACTGCCCTCTTACTTTTGAAACTATTATCACGCTACTTTGTTGTTTATTCCCTAGATGTTTGAGAGTATCTGCAGATTCCTGCGGTTTTTCTGGAATCTTCTTGCTGCACCGTGGTTGCTTAGTGATGAGAGGAATGGTGGATGACTCCATGTGACTCTCCATTGGCATGATTCGGAAGCATTGAAGAAATGTTGGCATTTGTAGAGGTTGTAATAACTGAGGATCTAGGTCAAACCACTGTGAAAATACAAAGCACTTAGAGATCAGAATATCAGACAAAAGTATGGATCAAATAGACTGCAGGAAATGGTCGCTATTCCTCTAAGACCCTAGATTTTCTTAGGGCCTTAGGGTCACTAGAATGTTGCTATTATTTCATGTTGTCTTCATTTAATCAGTTTGTCAATATGAATTCTTCAACCCTAGAACCTGTAGTGAGAATTCATCAAGTACATTGTAAAAAGTATAGTAATATACTAAGAGGCACAGGCAAACGACACTAGCTCCGACCCATATATTTCCCAAACTTGGTGTATGTGAAAGCAAACGCTTTTACGTAACTTGTATACCAAACAATCTCAGAATAGTAATTGTAGTTTTTCAGTAGAAGTAGAAAGCTATACCATGTTGTAGTGATTGCAAGTGCGTTAATGACAGATTGGCTTACAAACCACCCACCCCAATAAAAAGACTGCATTTTTCCATGTTCCCCTCCTCTTTTTGTATTTAGATTAAATTTTATGTAGCCATTGCAATACAGGCATATACACTGTTTTATTTTTCTTCATTTAACCTGAGTATTTTTCTATTTTGTGTCATAATCATTATGAATGATGAAGTAGTATTCTGTTGAATAACTGAACTATATAACCATTCTTTAAGCTCACCAACTTGATTTAGATAGTTTCAATAATCAACTTGTATTTATTTTTTAATTTTTAGATTATCCTTCAGGATAATTATTCAGAAGTACAGTGCTGGAATAAAGGGCATAAGCCTTTGAAATTAAAGTTTTTGAAGATACATACTGACATTTATTTTTAAAAGATGATACCAATTTCAATTTCACCAGCCATGAATGTGAGGAATAAACCACTGGAGTTGGTCTTACCCAATTAGAAATGGAGAGATACAGAAATTTATAAAGTTTTGATTGTGACCAAATTCATTGTCTGAGTATCCTAACATCACTGTAACATTATAAGGATTATTACCAGATGGTTTTAATATTTATTGTTATTTTTGTCAACTTAGCTTTTAAAATCAGAAAATTATGCTTATAGTAGATAACTTGAAAAAGCAGAAATATAGTAACAAAACCCATATGATTCTACCACCCAACAGTAATGACTAAATCACTGAAATAACTGTGGTAAGTTCATTTCCAGTGGGTTTTTTCTGTTTTATTTTGTTTCTTTTTTTCCCCCCCACAGGCATTTATTGGATTACCAGTTACTAGGAATACAGGGACTGTGGTGGTAATGTACTTAATTTATATAAACTTTAATTTAGTTCTTGATCCTTCCCCCTACCCAACACGCACATGGAGTATGTACTGTTACGCATTATCTTTTTTAAATTATATTTTATTGGTTATGTTCTTACAGTTGTCACAAATTTCCCTCTTTGCCCCCCCTCTAAGAACCCTACTCCCTCAGGCAATAACCACCCCATCATTTGTGTCCATGGGTCATGAGTATAAGTTCTTAGGCTAGTCCATTTCCTGTGCAGTACTTTATATCCCAGTGGATAACTGTGACTACCACTGTGTACTTCTTAATCCTCTTGAAGTTTTCCCAGAGGCTCCTTACACTATCTTCTTTTCTTTTCTTTTTTTTTTTTTATTCTTTTTTCTTCCTGTTCTGGTTGGGTGTTGTTGTTTTTTTTCCTCCTTATATCCCAAATCACCGATTTGATTCTTGGCTTTATCCATTCTACCATTGATTCCTTGTAAATTGTTTTTCATTTTAGTTAGTGTATCCATCATTTTGCACTTTTTTTTATGCTTTCCATGTTCTTTTTTATGTTGAAGTTTTCTCTGAGTTTTTCTGTTCTTCCCTTAAGCTCATTGAGCATCCTTATAACCACTGTTTTGAACTCTGCATCTAGTAGCTTGCTTATCTCCAATTTGTTTAGTTCTTTTTGTTTGTCTTCTTTTTCATTTGGGCCATGTATTTTTTTTTTTGTCTTCTCATTTTGGCAGCCTCCCTGTGTTCATTTTCATGTATTAGGTAGAGCTGCTATGTCTCCCAGGATTGGTTGAGTGCTCTGATTATAGTAGGTATACTTTAGAGCCCAGTGGCACAGCCTCCCCTATCACCCAAGGTGGGTACTGGAGGTGTGCCCACCATGTGTACTGTGTACACCCTCCTATTGTAGTTAAGCCTTGATTGCTTTTGGTAGGGCATTGGGAGGTATTTACCTCATCTGATCAGCTGCAAGAACTGGCTGTGACCATTGGTCACCAACCACTGACCACTATGGAGAATCAGCTGTGCAAAGGCCCACTCCATAGAACAGGGGTTCTGTGGGGCCAAACTCCACTCACTCACTTCAGTGAGGCTCTGGTACCCACCGAGTCCACCCTTGTGTGAGTTGCTAATGGAGATGGTTTGGTGGTGGTGCTATCATGTGATCTGTAGTTGTCCACTGGATGTGCTGGCTCTAGGGCTCCCTAGGGGTGCAGTCCAAGATCAGCCACTGCCTGTGTTCTGTCTAGAGCTTACCTAGCATAAGCTACAATGAAGCCTGCAGATGGATGCTACCTGTGCTACGTTTGGAGGTGCCCAGGATAGGCCAAGCTGTGAACTGAGCCTACTACTGACTGCCACCCATAGTAGGTCTGGGACCACCTATCAAAAGGTACCAGGTACACAAAGGACAAATGCTGGTTGTCAGAGAGACTTTAAGAAAATCTGAAGCATGAGCCAAGATAAGCCATTTATGTGGAAAGCCCCTAAAAACAGCTTGGGTGGCCTTAAAGTTGGGGGAGGTGGAGCCTCAGGAAATCACCAGGGTATGGCAAACAGCATAAGCCATGTTGATGGAGTCTCATATATGGTGCCAGAGGGCTCATAAAAGAGACATTGGCCTCTGCCAGCACTTGTTTAGGAGAAAGCTGTCCCTTTAGCTCTCACCCTGATGCCATATACTTCAGCTTCTCCCCATTCATCTCTGCTGATTTCGCACTGCTGCCCCTGTGCTGGAGCTCAGAGGTAGTAAACCGAGCAAGACCATGAGTGGGCGCTTGAAGAGGAACTGCCTGGAAATCCAGAAGTTTGTCTTCCACAGCCTCATTCCTCATTGGTTTTTACAGCCAAAAATTACAGGGACTTATCTTTGGCACTGGAACCCTTGGCTGAGGGGCCTGTTGTGAGGCTGGGACCTCTCACTTCTGAGATGTCCCTCCTGATGTTTATCTGCCACACGTGGGTGGGGGACCACCTTATTCTGTGTCTCCATCCCTCTTACCAGTCTTGAGACTTACCAGTCTCACCAGTTTCTTCTTTAATTTCGTAGTTGTAGGACTTCTGTTCAGCTTAATTTCCAGTGGTCCTAAGTAATGGTTTTTCTCAATTTCTAATATCTTCTTTTACAAATAATATCACAAAGACATCGAGAAGTATGTACAAGAGTGTTCACAGAGTAGTATTATTTAATAAAAAGATAAAAAGTCTAAGTAAACCAAATATTAATGAAGGATGAAAAAGTATGCACAAATTGTGGTGTATCTATGCAAGGGGATACTATACAAAAATGGTAATGAACAAACTACAAATACAACAAAATGGGTGAATTTTACAAACATAATGTCAAGTGGGAAAAGCCAAAGGGAAAAAATACATGCCGTGTCATCGTCCATTTACATAAATAGAAGCAGGCATAAATAAACTATTATGTTTAAGAATGCATGCTCCTATGATAAAGCCATAAAGGAATATTAAGAAGTTATTGTCATAAATTACAAGATAATGGTTACTTTTCAGAAGGTTGGAGGAAAAGTGAATATTTTTGAACTACGGACATATTTCATTTCTTTAGTGGTCAATGTTCACTTTATAATGTTTCATAAAGCAATGCATATATTTTATGTGCTTTCCTGTCTTATTTTTCCCATATCAGAAAAATCTGAGGTCTATTTAAGTATTTAAAATTTCCAGTGGTAACACAACTTTTAAATATTATAGCATATTTTTTTTCATATAAAAATTAGCTGTAACCCCCCCCCCCCCCACACACACACACACATACCAGCCATGGCTAAGGCTGAGTGAGAGACCTTGGGACCATAAGCCACTGAGGAGACAAAGCTTATCTCTCTGGCAGGGGTGCCACTTCTGCTCCTTTTAATTCACTCTGCCTGGCCCCAGTACTTGGTCGATTAGCCAGTGACGGGTAAGATTCCTCAAGGCAGGATCAACCTAAGAAAGGCATGATCAAGTGGAGGCCCTCAGGGAAGGACTTGGGGGCTATAGAAAAAGAGGGCGATGGACCCTTGCCCCTCAGCTTTGACATAACCTGAGTCCTCTTTCTGTCTTCGGGAAGTCTCCTGATCTCTTGGCTACCTTACACCCTGCTCATCCTGAGCATGAAACAATGCTGGAGATGGGTGTGGCCCTGTGATAGAAAGGGCAGGTTTCCTGGGGAAAATCAGGCCTAAGAAAGAAAGCAGAAAATCCTGTGAAACCTGCTTTGTTTAGAATATTCTCAATTAAATGATAAGGGTCCAAGCTAGAAGTGAGTTTGTCCCTCAGAGTTTTATGGCTCTTTAGCTA